CTGAATTTTATGCTTAGGGTTTTCTAATACCAGGCTGTGAGGGCTTGACAGCTGTAAAGCATTCCCTTCTGGGTCGCTGGGTTTTCTAACAGGGCGGCCAGCCCTGCCCCGGAGCACGGCGTGGGGGTCGTCAGCCTTGCCCTCGCAGCCGATCCGAACGTGGGGGTGCAACGGCCCGAGCGCTCGCCCACAGTCACTGACCACGGCTGCCTGCCCAAGCACGCCCAGAGAAAAACTGCTGTGCCCCATCCCAGTATGGGCTCGGCATGGAGAAAAGGTCCTCAGGCTGCTCTGGAGCTCACCGGGGCGAGGAGCAGGGATCTGCGTCTCGCGGCTGCAGCAATGCAGGTCTCTGGCAGAGACTCGCAAGAAGGACGCCTGCAGCCCACCAAAGGGCTCTTGGTGACGCGCATCAGTGAGAAATGTCCACAGACAGCACATCAGGATGGAAAGCCTGAGCTGAACACATGGTGCTATGGGGTGGGGCTGCAGGGCATGCCTGGCACAGGAAAACATGTAATTTATCACTTGACAGACGGACAATAGAAAATAACGGCTAGCAGGAGAACGCATGATACAGTTTACAGGTAACCGATGGCACGTACACCAAGGGAGCTGCAGGGGAACGCGGGCTGCGGGCCGGCCAGAGCCCCGTCGTCCCTACTCACCGCTTCACGGCTGGGGCTGGCTTTGCAGCCCGAATGAGTCAGCCATGCGACCGCTCTGATCGCAGACCAGGTTTGCAATTAAACACGGCTCCTTCAGTCAGGATTGCCTGAAACAGGCTCTGAAGGAACTGACAGAAACACCAGCCGGCAGGCAAAGAGCCAGTCCAGGAAAAACAGAGTTGGTCAGGATCCCAGAAGACCTAATACCAATAAGAGGAAAAGCCAGGCTAGGACAGAAGCAGACCCAGCGCTGTGCTTGCCAGAGCATTGCTGGGGACTTCATGGACTGAATGGGGTCCAATGAACAAAAACAATAATAATAATAATAAAAAAACCCACCCTGAGAGAAACAAAGAAAAAAGTAATTCGGAAAGTAGAAAGCTTGCTTTAAAGAACAAACTTACACTGGCCAGCAGCTGAGATCTTGCCAATCATCTCCTGGTCAGCCTGAATTTCTTGTATACCCAACACCAGCAAAACTGTGGGACCAAACAGATAATCACCCATCAACACTAGAAACTGCCTTTAAAAAAAAATTACATGCAGGCTTTAATCTATCGCAGCAAAAATGCTGTGTAGATTTCACACTCGCAAAAAATAATTTGATGATGCCGCACAGCAGCGTATCTACAGGAGGAAAATCCCTCTAGCAGGGACACAGAGATCATGAAAAATGCCAAGGACCTGACTCCAGCGCACGGGAGGACACTCCCTCAGCTCACCACGTGCAAGGATGCAGCACATGAACCAGAACTGGGCCAGGCTTAGGCTCCAAAGATTACGGTCGTAAGCATGGAAGACACCAAATAATTGCACTGGAGAAATTTATGAACTTTTAATACTGTAATAATAACATCAGCTTTTCCCATGTCAATTAGACACTTCACATACAAATCAGTCACACGTGTTTGGATCCTCAGAAAAGATGTTTCCCCGGGTATTATTTTCTCCCCTTCTGTGGGAAACTCTGTTTCAGAGGTTTAACCTCCCGGAGAGGCAGTGATTCAGCTCTCGTTCCTGGGGACGAAGAACTCCAGGCGGGGAAGCATCCTAGACAAAAAACACCGATGCAAAACAGTGACTTCATACGTACCTTGGGGAAGCAGGAAAACGCAGATGGACTCAAACAACACGAGGCTCATGGTGACAAATCTGCAAGGAAAAGAAAAAAAGGAAAAGAATATTAATCCAATTGCTAAAGATGGTTTCTTTACCTGCAAGGAGATGATCAGCTGCAGGTAATCTCATGTGATGAGTTCAGCAATGTCTGGCCCAAGGGGCAAAAGCAACTCCTACCCTGGGGAGAAGGGTAGGGAACCGATAAAAGGAAAAAACACGAAAACAGTGGGAAAGACAGGAGAAGAAGTCTCCCTGCCTACTCATCTCCTTTCCTTTCAAAACCAGAGAAAGCCAGTTTTGCAGGGGAAGGAGGGGCTTCCCAGCCTCCCCTCCTCTCCTTCCCTCCGTGGCCACCCAGACCTCTACTCTCCCCTCCTCCCCTCTTCGCTGCGCCTCCTCCCGCTTGAAGCCGAGCCCCAGCAGGGTCCCCGCAGCCCTCGGGGAGCCGGTTGAGGAGCTGGACACGGCTCCTCTGGGGGTTCACAGGGCAGAGCCACGTCCCCCTGACCCTACCAACGCGCAGGGCTCCAGCTGAGAGGTCCCTGCGGTAGAGCACAGCAGAGGGGACCTGTCCCGCGGGGCTGGCCAAGGCTGCTGCCCATCCTCATCGCAGGTCTTCAACAACACTCAACCACAGGCTCTGTCACACCTCATGTTTTCTGAGGACTGCTTTTCTGGGGAGATGTTTTTATGTGCTAGCGTGCAGCAAAGTCAATTTTCTGCTCATTTTTCCTTTGAAATCAGCAAGGCTGCCATCACATCATAGGTGGACTTCAGTGACACTTTCAAGCATGCCCAGATTTAGACCAAGCGTATCTGGCAGAGGCCTTGGCTTTCTATTTAAAAGATGTATATTTATTTCTCTTCCAGATTAAAAGCGCTGGGTGCACTCACCAGAGCAAATCTGACCAGATTCAGGCTGGGTCTCTGCCTCTCTCATTGCAAGAGCAGATTTTCTTCATGTAGTTAAAGACAAATAAGTGCATTTCTTGATAACCAGTTCTATTAACCAATTGTTTTTCCAAGAAAATAGAGAAAGCTTTTTCTCAGGAAAGACTTGTCTCTGCAGCAAACTATATAAATTTAATAAGCAGCTGGGAAGAACTGATGCTTGTTAGTGAAATCACCAACACAGGCCCACTCCCCTCACTCCAGGTGCCAATTCCTTGAAAGCACAACCCAGCAAACCCCAGGCGTCAGGGCAGTGGGGGTCAGGAATCAGCTTCCCGGGGTGTCCCACGGGTCCCCATGCTGCCTGTCCCAGTCCCAGTCCCACCTTCCACTGCTATCCCCCTCACCCATCCCTGTGCATCAGCTCCTGCAGGAAGGAACGTGTTTAGCCAGAGGAAGGAGCCAAGCGGTGGTTCCTCTCTCTATCTTACTGTTTCACCCTGGTTTTAATGTTCAATGCTGGTGTCTCGACTCCTTAGTTTCCCCAGTCCTCGAAACTGTGCGCCAGCACCCCCATGTCTCCATGGGTGGGGAGACTCTCCTGTGGGTGCGCCCAGGAGCCCGGGGGCATGCAACACTTTAAACCTCAGGACACAAGCCAAGCTTTGAGCAATGGAAACTTCTCCTCTGGGCAGGCTTTTCTCTTCAGAAGAGGGGGTGAGACACCTGAGGCAACAGGCATCCCCCTGCCTTGTACCAGATCATCAGTCTCCAACCCTTCCTCTGCCAGGGCCACCCATCCCAGACACACCTGGTCAGAGCAAGGACCCATGAAGCCCCTGTAGCTGCCTGCACCTCATACCCCTCCCATCAGACAAAGCAAGATACCTGGAGCAGGCCACGCTTGGTCACCTGCAGGGGTCCAGAAGGAAGAGGGGATTAAAGAAGTGTCATCAGGGATTACAGACACAATAACGCCCTGTGTCTTGCAGTTCTTTACCCAGTTCCAGGTGCTTTACAAGCATCACCCTTCGACGCAGCCCCCCACCTCCCCCACCAGACTGCCGCTGCCAAGCTTGCAGATCCTGAGCTTGCCTAAGCAAAGGGAGGCAAACACAAAACACGACTTCACCAAGGAAGCCCCCGTGTCCCCCAACAGCTTCAAACCCTGGCACATGCCACAGAGGTAAGGTCACCCTTTTGCCATGCCCCGAGGATGTGCTTTCTAGGAGCTAATTCCAGAGCACACAACACCCAGAGGAGGACAAGCCTCCGCTCGCAACCAGACATCACAGGTGTGGGAGGATTTCAGGTTGTTTTCATATAAAACATTGACAAGTCGAAATGTTTCTACAACTTAGTCTTATCTTGGGCTTAAATCACCTAATTTGCAGGATTAATTCTTTGCCTTTCAGCCCAGCTACAGTCTCAACAGCAGGCACTGAAAGAAAGCTTCACCATCACTCCTTAGCATTAGCCCAGGATTAGCAGCAGCCAGCAACTTCAGACAGCAGCTTTGCCGTGCGATGGGGCAGTGAGCAAAGGGCCTTGTCATTTGATCTTCCTGACCATTAAGGCAGGGAATTTTAAAAACATCTACATTAGTACTGAATCAAAAATAATCTTTTTTTTTTTTTAACTACATTCAGTCAAAACTCATATTTTTTGTACCCAGATTCTTACCTGGCCACATAAATACGACGGCAACTTATGCAAAGCTAAGTAAGAGTGTAATCACACGGACCTTATTTGGAGAAGTGAGACAAGAGAGGGGGGAGAGAAGTAGAGGCGAGAAAAGCTTGTCTTGACAAGCACCTTCCCAACACACCTATCACCGTCTGCAAACTACCTGAGCTTGCTTATTCTTGGTAATGAGACAGAACCAAGCTGTGATCTGGAAACACGGCGAACCCAACACCAGCAGCCACCGTGGTCACCTGGACGTGGGACCAGGTCCGACAGCGCAGCTGTGCCTACAGCGCCTGGCCGAGAAGGGATCCGAAAACCACCGTGGGCTGGTGTTCCTGGAAGAGAGGGAAGCAGGGCTGCAGCTGATGGCACGTACCCTGCTACACCTGATGGCACCAAGCACCCCCACAAGACGCCCTCCTACGTACACCCACACGAACACACCCCACTTCCACAGACTGCTGCCACAACAGTCAGCGGCGTGCACACCGCTTTGGGGCAAATGTTACTCTTGTACCAGGACAAGAAGATACGTAGAAGTACCAGCCAGCTGCTTTAACTAATTACCACTTCCTCTCATCTCAGAGACCAGGCTTGCAACAAAAGCCATCTCCAGCTCATTTTACAAACTGTTCTCCTTTTATTTAAAAGTAGGTGAGAAAGCGGACCAGATTATGCCACATATTCCTTAAAGCACATCCCTAAAGAGCCAAGCGACCCCTGTCACTGCAGTTGTCTCTGTGGTTCCCTCCAGCGCTGCTCTGTCTGCGGGGAGGACATGGCACCGGCTTGCTGGGGGGTGTCCACTTCCAGGGCTGCCTGTGACCTTGGTTAGGTGTAGGGAGGGAAGAGAGGAGGCCAATTTTGCTGCCTCATCGTTCAGTCTCCCTCAGACTGTTTTCCATATGTAATTTTTTCTTTTTCCTCCTCACTCAGGTTTGGAGGCTTTGGGTCACCTCTGCTGGGAACCCCAGGTGTCCCCTCAGCCTGGCTGGGGCAGCTCATGGCGGGAGCCCAAAACGAAAGGGGGAGGAGGAAGACAATAGGAAAATGTTTAATTTCTCCTTAAAATGCACATCACAAATTTCAGTCTAAAACTTTTGACAATTTTTTTTTCTCCATGTCATAAACAAGATTAAATGTCTGTAAGAGCAAAACCAGCTCGTTTCTTCACCCCCCTGGCTCTGCAGCGAGGAGCAGCTTCGACAGGCTCTTTTTTTGACAGGCGCTTTTTTCCCTGTGCAGCAAGGGCTCCTGTACATAAAGAGACCTTGATCTTGCAGGACTGCCCACACGGGGCACTGCCAAAACCAACATACTGCAAATCAGGTCCTCTACAACCCTCGGGTTATGGAAGAGGAGACACTTTCCTGACCCAAGAGCTCGTGCTAAACTCCTTGTGTAGTTCATCCTGACAGAAGCGCTCATGCTACTGCCTTTGCCCGTGGCAGGAACAGCGGGAGAGCTTCCATGAATGCCTCCTCTTTTTCATCCTGTGCTGGATGCCACGTGCAAGACCACCCAAGCGAGCCAGAGCCCGCCTCAGCACCGCAAGCACTCAGCGCTCGCCGGCAGCAGCGGGCGGCTGGTGCGGGCGCTGGGAAGAAACGCTCTGTGGAGCGGCTGAGAGAAGGGGTACAGCCATCTGCAGGAACGCGGTGTCTCAGGACAAACCAACGGCAGCATAAGAAAATAGATATGCAAAAAATATCATATATTGAGGTTATGAAAGAATGCAGATAACTTGGTGTTTTGGTTTGGCTTGGACAAATGCCAGGTGCCCACCAAAGCTGCTCTATCACTCCCCCTCCTCAGCTGGGCAGGGGAAAGGAAATGTGATGAAAGGCTCGAGGGTCGAGACAAGGACAGGGAGAGATCACTCACCAATTACTGTCACAGACAAAACACACTGAACTTCGGGAGAAAAGGGAGTTTAATTCATCACCAATCAAATTAGAGCAGGATAGTGAGAAATAAATTCGGATCTTAAAATACCTTCCCCCACCCCTCCCTTTTTCCCGGGCTCAGCTTCACTCCCCTTTCTCTCCCTCCTCCCCCTGAGCGGCGCAGGGGGACGGGGAATGAGGGTTACGATCAGTTCATCACACATTGTCTCTGCTGCTCCTTGTCCCTCAGGGGAAGGACTCCTCACACTCTTCCCCTGCTCCAGCCCGAGGTCCTTCTCACAGGAGAGAGTTCTCCACAAACTTCTCCCACGTGAGTCCTTCCCACGGGCTGCAGCTCTTCACGAACTGCCCCAGCACGGG